ATGGGTGGGTGGATGGGTGGGTGAGTGGGTTGATGGGTGGATTTGGCTAATACCTCCAACCTGAATCAAGTCTGGAGGCAAACAGTGTGCCTTGGTTTTTGGCTACAGATATTCCAGGACCACCCACTGCAGCGGAACTATGACTACAATGTGGTCGTGGACCCCAAGCCCCAGGGCCCCCTGCCTAACACAGCCCTCCTCTCCCTTGTACTTATGGTTGGCACCTTCTTCTTTGCCATGATGCTACGCAAGTTCAAGAACAGCTCCTACTTTCCTGGAAAGGTCAGCATACCCTCCTACCTGCCTTGCCACCCACCCCCAACCCTAGTCCACCCCCTGCTTTCTACAGTGCCCTTAGCTTCTGTTCTCACCCCATGCTCCCATTCTTAACCTCACCCCCAATGATCGGGCCTGCTCCTCTCTTCATTCTAAGTCTCCCAGGTCCCTCCTCACCCTTGCTCCCCATGCTCAGATGAGGGATAGGTCCTGGGAAGGGATGGGGCAAGGTCAAGGGAGGAAGAAAGGAAACAGGTCCAGTGGAGGCATGAGGTGTTGGAGAATCCCCTGGGAAGGACAGGGTCCTTGGTGAAGGCCAAGTTGGAGGGAGGTTAGGCAGGAGGTTGAAGGTAGGTAAGAGCTGGCCACTGACGTTTGTCCCTCTACCCATCCCCAGTTGCGCAGGGTCATCGGAGACTTTGGAGTTCCCATCTCCATCTTGATCATGGTCATGGTGGATTCTTTCATCCAAGATACCTACACCCAGGTGACCCTGTCCCTGCCCTTAAGTCCTTCTTCCAACTCCTCACTCCATCCTCCATCTCCAGAACAGCTCCTCCCAACTTGAAGCCAGCTCCAATTGTCCCTACCCGCTCCCTGCCTCCTCTGGGAGCCCCATGCCTTTCCACAGCCCACAGAACCCTTGTGGCCAAAGGCAGGGGCAGGCTCCCTCCTCCTCCTCCTTCCTTAACCCAGAGTCTTTGAAAAGTCTGCTTTGTTACAAGGCAGATGGGTGTATGTATCTCAGCTCTGCTACCAAATAGTTGTGTGATATGGGGCAAGTTACACACCCTCTCTGATTCTGTTTCCCAATCTATAAAGTTGAGAACGAGAAGATGATGTACGTAAAGGACCTCGTGCTGTGACTGTGCACGTAGTAGGTGCTCAACATATGGACATTCCCAAGTCCCAACTGTCTGGTTCCCCAGGACCCTGGCTCTCTCCCCCTCCTCATCTCCCCTTGAGGGTTCTTACCAGCTCCCTTACAACTCCCCCTCTCCCGCCCCCACAGAAACTCAAAGTGCCCAAAGGTCTCACAGTATCTAATACCACGGCCCGGGGCTGGTTCATCCACCCAATGGGCTTGCGTTCTCACTTCCCCATCTGGATGATGTTCGCCTCGGCCCTGCCTGCCCTGCTGGTCTTCATCCTCATCTTCCTGGAGTCCCAGATTACCACGTAAGAGCCCGGGGCGCTGCGGCCTGAGGCAGGGAAGGGGCACAGAGGAGGGAGCCCCAGGCTCTGATGGGTGTGCAACCCTACCAGGGAGCCGGGAAGAGGAACAGCAGGGGTAGGTCCAGGTTTTATGAGACCTGAAGTTGTATAATTTGGGGAGTCCTTTTTAAGAAAAAGCATCCACAACGAGAATGACAACATCAGGCAGGTGCTGGACCATGGAAGGGGCTTGTATCTGTACAAGCTTCATCAGCCTCCAGGCCCATCTTCCTGGGGAGGTTCTAGGTACTTCTGAACCCCACCGCTCTCAGAGTGTGGGCGCCCGCGATGGGGAGGGGGAGGGAGAACAGGGACTTCAAAGGGTCTGGACACAGAAGGAAAACTGAGGTGCAGAGAGACCCTGGTGTAGGAAGGGGAGGGAGGAACAACGGGAACCTGAGAGGAGAGAGTTCCTGCTTACTCCGATTCCCCCTCCCTTCTCAGGTTGATTGTCAGCAAGCCGGAGCGTAAGATGGCCAAGGGCTCTGGCTTCCACCTGGACCTGATGCTGGTTGTGGGCATGGGCGGGGTGGCCGCCCTCTTTGGGATGCCCTGGCTCAGCGCCACCACCGTGCGTTCTGTCACCCACGCCAATGCTCTCACTGTCATGGGCAAGGCCAGCGGCCCTGGGGCCGCAGCCCAGATCCAGGAGGTCAAGGAGCAGCGCATCAGTGGGCTCTTGGTCTCTGTGCTTGTGGGTAAGTAAGGACCACCCCTGATGGCCACCTGCCCCAGCCCCGCCAGCCTCTGCCCCTTAAGCTTTAGGGCCCCCTCCAGCCTCGCCCAGCCCCACACACGGCTGCCCACCTCCCCAGCATCAGGGAGTTACTGGACCCACCCCATGGAGTTAGCCTGGAGGAAATGCCTATGGCCCTGGGATGGGGGCTGGGGGGTGGCAGTGAGGGGTGGGTGCTCCAGGACCAGACCTGCTCTCACGAGCAGCTTAGCAATTCTACGTGGTCCCTGGGCCTCAGTTTCCCCATCTGCACAGTAAGGGGTTTGGTTGACTCGAAGGCAGTGAGGTTTTGCTTTGGGGATGTCTCCTGCTCAGCTCTCTGCGATTGACACAGAGCCAGAGTCCCCAGCAGACTGGGAAATGATGGGGGCCAGGGGGTGGGGAGCTGGGGAGACAGGAGAGCCACTGGGCTCTGGAGCGGCTGGGAGTCGGCTGGGCTCAAGGTGGCCACGCTCAGGACGAGGGCAGGAGCGGGGAGGGGGAGGCGTAGAGGGCAATGGAGCCCCCCAGGCTGGAAGTGGGGTTCCCGTTCTTAATCTCTGTAGCCCCAATGAGGTGAGGCAGGCAGGCAGGCAGGAGTTTGACGATCACTGCACTCTCTGTGCCTTGGTCTTCTTAGCTATAAAAATGGGTACAATACCACCCCATCCCCCTTGGGGTTGCTTGGGCAGAAGAAGGGCCCACAGTAAAGGCTCCATACGGTCCCCCTCGGTCGATTTCTTAGTCCCAAGTTTGGGCCTGGGCCCTGCTGGCACCGGTCCTCCGGCGGCGGGGCTGAGAGCGGGGCTTCTCCCTGTAGGCCTGTCTATCCTCATGGAGCCCATCTTGTCCCGGATCCCCCTGGCTGTGCTGTTCGGCATCTTCCTCTACATGGGAGTCACGTCCCTCAGTGGCATCCAGCTCTTTGACCGCATCTTGTTCCTGTTCAAGCCGCCCAAATACCATCCGGATATGCCCTACGTCAAGCGGGTACGGGCCCTCCCAGCTGCCCACCCAGGTGGGGTGCTGGGTAGGGCAGGCATCAACCCCTGCCTTTCCCTGCAGGTGAAGACCTGGCGCATGCACCTGTTCACGGCCATCCAGATCATCTGCCTGGTTGTGCTGTGGGTGGTGAAGTCCACCCCCGCCTCGCTGACCCTGCCCTTCGTCCTCATCCTCACGGTGCCCCTGCGGCGCTTTCTGCTGCCCCTCATTTTCCGGCCAATAGAGCTCCAGTGTGTGAGTAGCCGCCCACCAGTGAGAGGGCCTGCGGAGCCAGGGGCAGTGAGGGGGCCTCAGGGCCTAGGAGGGTATGGGGAATGGGAGGGGCGGGCCATGGCGGTGGGGGTGGGGGATGGGACGTGGTGGGGGAAGGGAAGGGTGAGGCTGTCATGGCGTCTAGAGTCTGGGTTGGAATCCCAGTCTTGCCACCTAACGAGTTGCCTGACCTGGAGTAAGAGCCCTGGCTTTGCTGTGCCTTGGTTGCTACCGTCTGTAACAGGGGATAGTGACAAGGCTGATGGGAGAGTCCACTGTGAGACCGTTGAGTGGCTGGTTGGGTGGTCTTCTGACTTGTTCGGATCAGAGCTGCTCCCCGGCCCCCCACCCCCACCCCCGGGGAATTCTTCCACCACGTGAAACAGGTCACTTGAGAGCCCACTCACCCACCCACATCTACAGGTCTCCCCCACTGAGGCACCAGATCCCCAGGCCCCCCCACCCTTTGGGAACCTCAGCTGGAGGGCGGGACAGGATGGGAGGTGTCCAAGGCGCTGTCTCCTGACTCCTCTAAGTCCAGGCAGGGGCAGGGAGAGGGGGCGAGGGTCCCGAGCTGCGTACCCCGTGGCTGCTCACCCCCTCTCTTTCTGTCTCATCCCTCCAGCTGGATGCTGACGATGCCAAAGCGACCTTCGATGAGGAGGAAGGCCTGGATGAGTATGACGAAGTGCCCATGCCCGTGTGAGGGTTGGGCCCAGGCCGGGCGCTCCCTTCTACCGCCCCTCTGCCGCGAGCGACCCTGGGCAAATCGGAAGTTCTGGGCACCTCATGGTCTCCTGGGCCTCCTCCTGGGCAGCAGCTGAGTGGCTGACTGGGGGTGGGGGGTGGGGAAGGAGGGGAACCTAGGAAATGTCCCAAGGTTAGACGGGCTTTTCTGGCTGGCAGTGGCCCGAGAAGCCCATGTTAGGGGATTCACTGCACAGTGCCTTCTGCTGCCACACTGCGGGCTGTCATCCCATGCTGGGAAGCTCAGGTCTGAGCCTGCCTCCTCTGGCACAAGCAGGCGCAGTAGCAAGGCCTGGGGGGCGGGGGTGGGGTGGGGTGTCAACGTCTGTCTTGCTGTGTGATCTTGGTCAAGTACCTTGACATCTCCAGCTTCTGCATCCAATCCTGTAAAATGGGGATACGATCATCACACTCAGATCCCCGCCAAAACACGTGAAAGGACTAGTTGACTTGAGTCAGCATTGCTATTTGAGCCCCGCCCAAGTCCACACAGCTTCTGAGCCATGCAGGCAGGACTCGAACCAGCAATTCTGACTCCCAGGTCAGAACTTTGTCCTTTACTCAGTCGTATACCTTCCTATGCTCAGAGACACTGCCGGCTCCCTCCCTGGGCCCAGCCCCCACTCGGGTGCCTTTGTGGGCCAGAGAGGGTAACCCTGCAAATATTGCCAGGACCCTTTCAGAAGGGTGGCCTGCTAGTGAGAACGCAATCAGGACTGGAACTCAGGACTTTGGGCTCCTTGTCCTTCCCTGGGGCTCAGCCAAGAACCTTGTGCTGATTCCTTTGTTCTTTCCGTCATTCCATCCGCCTTTACTGAGGGCTCTGTACCCAGGGGACCTAGAGGGGACCTGGGTAAGACTCTGCCCTGAGTCGGGAAAGAAGGCTCAGTCAGCTCTAGACTTGGAGGGGGGGGAGGGGATGGAGAGACAGGGGGGAGGGCTTGGGAAGGGGTTGTAATTTATTAAGCGTGCATTTTCTACGAACTTTCCTCCCACTTCAGCTTCACACTCACACACAGGCTCCCTCATAATTAGAGACCCGCGGTCCCCAGTCCCTGCCCCAGTTGAATCTTGGGACAAACTCAGATTTGACCAGCAGGGTCTGAGAGTGGGGTTTCCAGGGCAGGAACAGCATCTTCCCATATGTGGAGAACGCTGTGGCAGCGATGGGTGATGGGAAGAACATAGGGACAGGAAAGACAGGGAACCGGAAGGCCCTCAACGGCACCCCTGAAAGCTGACAGCATTCCGTGTCCTCACCTGTGACATGGGGTCCCTCCCCTGCAGGGCTGTCTCAAGAACTAAAGGAGCAAAGTAGCACTCTGTCTAATAGATGAGAGCGCTCAGTCGATGTTGGCTGCTGGCATTGTGCTTCTGGTCGGGAGAGACCTGCTTCCTTCCCGCTTTGCCCCCACCCCACCCCCACCCCCAAGCCCCTTGAAAAGCAGAATGGGAAAAGAAAAAGAAAAACTTAGCTAGCGCCTTTCCCTCGGGTGCCTGGGACTGTGTTTTGACAATAAAAGCCTCCGTGGCAGAGTGGCTGCCCTGCTCAGATTCCCTTTGCAGAGACACGGCCCAGGGGGAGTGTGGGCCAGGTCTGGTGGACACGTGTGTCTGGTCATGGGACCAGCGCAAGGCCGCAGTCGTGGGTGCAAGGAGAGCCCAGTGCGGGAGTGCCACTGGAGCCGGGGGCGGACCAGGGTGCAGAGGGTCAGCATTGGCCAGTGCGGGAGTGTGAGGGCAGCTGGAGGTGAAGTGATGCCCTGAGCACCCTTCCTTTCAGTATTAACCAAGGCCTATAGGGTAGGAGAAGGAGCCCTGGTGGCACAGTGGCTACGCACTGGGCTGCTCACTGCCAGGTCAGCAGTTCGAAACCACCAGCCTGAGGGAGAAAGACAGTGCCTTCTAGTCCCATAAAGCGCTGCAGTTTCAGAAACCCACAGAAACCCTTCTGCCCTGTCCTGTAGGGTCACGATGAGTTGGCATCGACTCAGCTGCCGTGAGTGAGTGAGCTGGCAGGGGGGAGGGGGGTGCGGGAAGAAGGGCTCTGAGGGAGCCTTGGCCCCTAACCCCCAGGTCCCTTTGGGCAGGATGGGCAGGATGAGAGTCAAGGTGCTTGCCCCCAAGGTGACACACCTTTGAGAAGCATGTGTCTTTACATGAGGCCCAGAGAGGGATAACAGCTTGTTCTACGTCACCCATCTCATTAGCTTTCCACTCGCCCCTACTCCAGCTCCTTCAGGGCCTCTCCCCTCTGCTCCCAGCTACTTCCTACGATTCTAAGGGGCACCCGGGCCAGGTGTCACCCACTCCCAGAGAAGGGTGCAGGGGCATTACCCTCCTCCTCCCAAGTCTCCCAGCAAGAGGTCAGGGCAGGGCTGCACTGCTTGGCTTCCTTTCCTGGGGCTATATTTACTTGCTGCCTATCCCCAGCTGACCCCTCCCAGGCTGGCCAGGGCAGCCGCCAAGAGGCCAGAGTGACACGGCCCCAGGGGGAGTGTGACAGCCGCCCACCTCCAACACACAGCAGCTGCATGTGCCTGAAGCCCGCCACTGGTCTTGTCCCCTGTGCTTGCTAGGCCCTCACTCCCGCCCCCAGGAACCCTGCCCGGAAACCAGGCTAGGAGCCCGGTGTGCATAAGGTCTAGGGTGCCCCAGTCTCCGCCCTGGGCCCGTTTCTAGCCAGAGTGGATGCTCTCTTGTAGACTCTTGCTATCTTCAGAGCCATGGACCAGGTCACCCGTATCTAACCTTTGAGGAATGGGTGCTACCTTGATTTAGGGAGAAAATGGCCTGCCCCTTATCAAGGCCGAAGCCCCCTCTTCCCCGAAGTGTTTAGTTTCCATTTCGAGCTCTGTTGTGGGACGTGGGAGGAGGCTGGGACCCCGGCCAGGTTCTCTAGAGCCTCCTGGTGCCAAGTGTGCTGACAGGCCCGGCAGCACCACTGGGAAGCTGGTGAGAAATGCAGAATCTCAGGCCGGCACGGCCAGCTGAAGGGGAAGGGCGCTGTGAGCATGCTGCTGGGTGGTCTGCGTGCCTGAAGGGTCCCGAGAGCTGGACTAGGACTGAGCGCTCAGGAAGCTCAGGCCGCCACAGCCCGCTTCGCCCCCTTCTCCTACCCTCTTAGAAGCTCTTCTTGACTGAGTGGTGGGAGGTGGGGGCTCAAGGATATGGGGGTAAAGAGGAGACAGCTAGCCGCCCCCCAAACACCTAATCCCTCTTGGTCTCAGCCTAGAACCCCCAAAGCCGGCAGCTGGAGCTGGGGGGGCATTCGGGAGATGTGGAGGCCATGGGAGCCGCCCTTTATCCAACCTCTGGCCCGGCTGCTTCTCATCCCTCCTACGCTTCCTACCCTCCTAGTTCCCTTTTGGGTGTTCATTCTGTCCCACCCCACTCCTAACACCCCCCCCACACACACACACACACATTCATACTCACATGATTGCAAGTCCACATGCTCTCTCTCTCTCTCTCTCTCACACACACACACACACACATGTGCACCCACTCTAGGTGAGTTCAAACCCTTTTTTGGAGGAGACCTGAACACAAAGTGCAGCTTTAATGAAGCCCATCCTCGGTGTGAACGCAGTTACGCTGCACTTGGTCCGAGAATAAGGCAACAGCAACAGCATCAAAAACCTCAGGACCTGAAGATGTTCTCTGAGGGGCTGTTTCTGAACACAAAGAAACAGCCCAAATGCTCAGAGCTAGGAGCGTGGCTGATAAGCCCCCTGCAGTGGACTGCTAAGCAGGCCTTCGAGTACTAATTATGGAGAGAGCGGGGGTGGTGGGTGGGGGTGGGAATGGCAGACGGGACAGCAGGAGAGGCGCTGCAGGACCTGAAGCAGCAGCAGCAGCAGCAGCAGCTATAAAAACTGTGACGACTGTTTCCTCCCGCGGCGGCGGAGGGGGAAGTTCCAGTTGAAGCCCTGAGAAAGGATCAGCTGAAGAAGATGCCGAAGACGCTGAAGACTTCCCCACGAAGCCGACAAGGATCTCCAAGTTCGAGTTTGCCAGAGGTGGCCAGACGGCAAAGACCGCATCAGCCGTAGCCATCAAACTTGGATCAAGTCCGCCGGAGGAAACGGCTCCAATTCCAGCTCCTAAGACGTCCAGTCGCGGCAGCTTTTAATGAGGATGAAGATAATGAGCCAGAGCAGATGCCTCCAGAGGCGAAGAGGAGGGGGAAGGATGTTGGAAGGGAGCACCACCCTCTAGCAGGACCACACTCCGTCAGGAAGAGGAGACCAGAGGCTATGAGAACAAAATATAAAATCTTATCTTGGAAACACCTGTGGCCAAGACGATCCAGTGATGTGTTTTACGATTGGGAGTGGGGGGTGGGGGTAGAGAGTTAGAAGAAAAAATAAATAAATTAAAAAAAAAAAAGAGAGAGAGTTAGAAGAAACCGTTTCCTGTTTAAAAGAATGGTATTGTAAGACTATCTTAGGAGCTGCTTGGCAGGGCTTTGTTTACTTTTTTTTTTTAAACTAAAGATTGGGCGGTACACTAATCAACAATGAGAGTTGGAAATTAGAAGTAAATTATGCTTTAAATAAAGATTTCAAAATAGCTGCTAATTTTGTACGTCCGTGTAATTAGGTTCCAAAGGTTACAGATAGTAAAGAAATCAGAAATGGTTTTGAAAAACTAAGGCTAAACCTAAAACGACTAAGAAGTGATACGATGAGCTTGGTGCCTGGGAAGCTGAGCGTCAGCAATCCCAGGCGCGTGCTTCAGTATCGGTTCCCTCCACAAGTAAAATGGATAGAGCATGACTTACCTGTCGATGTAAGTCATGGTCAAGGCGAAACAAACAGATCTGTCTTAGAAGAAGCGCAGCCAGGGAGCTCCGTAGACTGGGGCAAGGATGGCGAGACTTCAGCTCACGTGCTCGGGAGGGACCAGCCCCTGGAGAAGAATATCATGCTTGGTGAAGCGGAGGGGCGGTGACAGAGAGGAAGCTCTTCGACAGAGTGACGGCCACGATGGGTTCAAACAGAAGAACATCTGTGAGGATGGCACACAAAGGGGCAGTGCTCACTCTGTTGTACACAGGGGCCGGAGGAGTAG